AACTAAGGATAGTTCAATCCTTCTGTTTCTGGGCTACTGGTGAAGGAGGGGATGGGCTGGAAAGGTCTGCAGCCAATCATAGGTGGGGCAGGATAAGGTGTTTTCTCCTCATAGCAATCAAAAATAAATAAATATCTTTAATGGGGAGTGGAAAGATCTATATNTTTGAATTTTTTTGAAATTTTCGAGTTGGATTTTACTATCTACTCTTTGGTGAAGTTTGCGGCCATTCCAATTGTCCTACTGCTACCCGTTGGCGCTGACTAAGTCTTCTAGGAGCCCTGGTTGAGTTCCGTGCACATCCCACTGAGTTTTGGGCAGTTTTTGACGTCGGCAGTGGTAGATCTACACTCCGGCAGCACTGTTCTGTTCCGGCGTTGAGGTATTTTTGCTCCAGCAGTGAGTTTTTTGGTCTCAGCAGTGTTGGGTTGGCCTCAACAATGATTTTCCTGTCTTGGATGATATTATCCAGCCTTGACAGTGATTGTTTTGGTCCAGCGGGGGATTTTTTTTTCTAGCCTCGCCACTGAGTGTTCTTCACTCTACAGGTGTGGGTTTTGTGTTTTTTTTTACTGTTGGGTTATTTGTGAAGGTCTTTTGGTTTTCCTTGTGTTTTTCAGTTGCTAACTTGATTCCTTTTTTGTTGGGTTAGTCCTAAAATTGCTTTTCAAGAGTCGGTCTGTGTTGGAAAGTTCCCATTTACTAAGTAGACATGTCTGGAGTTAATGCAGAATCCACTAGCACTGAGAAAAGTGGGTTGAGTTGTGTAGGGACTCTTGGATGTAAACCTTCTCTCTAAACCAGTCCAACAAAATTAGATGGGAGCAACTATTTGGCTTGGTCCTAATAATGCATGTTATCAGTATGGACAAGTGGGCTAAATGGATATATGATAGGAGCAAGTAAGAAACCCAAATTTGAATTTGACCTGAGTTAGTGGATCTTTGAAAACTCATTGGTGATGATATAGTTATCCAAACATGATGCAACCTCACATAAGTCGTAGTTTTCTGTTTCTTGAAGCAACCTATGCGATTTGGTCAACGTTGGCTCAAATATATTCATAGCTTGGGAAAGATGCCCAGATTTATGAGCTCCGGAGGAAGATTTATGAAACTAAACAGAGGAATATGACTATTGCATAGAATTACGCAAGACATGGTTACCCAACTTGATGCAGTCTCACATAAGTCGTGGTTTTCTGTTTCTTGAAGCAACTTGTGAGATTTAGGCAGCGTTGGCTCATACATATTCATAGATTGGGAATGATGCCCAGATTTATGAGCTCCAGAAGAAGATTTATGAAACTAAATAGAGGACTATGACTATTGCATAAAAAAATACGTTGGATTGAGTAGTTTGTGACAAAAGCTGGATTATTATCAAGATTTTCAAGCAGATTATGTTAGAGATAGTATTAAGTTTCAGATGTTGATAGAAAAAGAAATAGACTGCAAAGTTGTGAGCTTTCATCTTTAATCATTGATCAATAAAGCTGGACATACGTGTGATACTTGAATCATCTATTTGACAGGGGAAATTCCTTAAAGAATCCGGCTTCAACAGCTTATACGCAAGTATTTGCTCCTCACCATGGATGGGCTATCAGGAAAGCTGTTGCTGCAGGGATGTATGCCCTTCCCTCGAAGGCACAGCTGTTAAAGAAGCTCAATGAAGATGGTGAGTTACTGCTCCAATTGATAGCTTAGTCAGTAGCTTCTGTAGTTCAATACCTCAACCAGGCATGTGAAGTTCATTCCTGCTGACTTATTTAGTGAAATGTTTGAATTTGAACGTATAGCTTAATTGGTTCACCTGGGGGTTCTTTGACTTAATCCAACTTCAAAAACTCTGGTAGGAGTTTTCACAATGTTAGCTCGGAAAGATCTCTTTACTTCTGACTCTTGAACTTGAAGGTGGTCGGGAAGTAGATATTCACCGACTTAGAGCCTGTCAAGTGGAGCCTGGTTTTTCATTTGGAATGCATAATTATTCATTTTCTGGTAGGTTGGTTTTTATTTTTTCTGGGTAAACAAAACCAACTTGTGTCAAAAATATACGAGGAGATCTGCAGCACTTTGGAATGCAATTATCAATTAACATAGTACAGTCTAAACAGCCAGTAGTCAAACTTTCATAGGGTGTAACTAATTGGAAGGCTTTATAGTTTATTGTGTTTTGTAGCACTTGGATGTATTGGTTGGACTGAAAGAATGTCTGACATCTTAGCTTGCTTTTTATTTTTTCATGTATCTTACTGTTAAAAAAGTTGGAATACAACTAAATGTCCCTTCATCTTCCTTCCTGTATATCTGACTGTTGGGTGTTTCTTTTAACTTCTGTCACTTTCAGAGGTCTCGGCGAGGATTCAGATGCAAACTTTCATTGCTGCATCAGTTCCTGTCATCCTGTATATTGACAATCTCTTCCTCTCAAAAGAATTGGGCATAGATTGGTGATCAATGGTGTGAATGATGTATACCCTGATTTAATGATCATCCTCTCGATGTTGAACAATCTAATTGCACTAATGTTCCTATTTGTTGCATCTTCATAAGCGCTGCAGAATATTATAAATTGGAACGAACATATAATTTTTACTGGTCATTCACCAAGTTGTCAAAGCATGTCTATTTTTTAATTTTGTGTTCCTTGCTAACTTTGTTGCTCATTATGTCTCAAACATTGTGACCACAGCCTATTGTGGCAGCTTGGAGCTGGCAAATTGTTGGGTTTGGCTGTCAAGTGCGAACTTGCAACTGAGGCCAATTTTACATGTTTTGCTTTTGTTTATTCACATTTATTTTATAGTTTTGATGATTGCTTTATGTTTAAAATTTTTTGTGGGCTGGGTTGGTGGGGGTGGGGAGGGGGAGTAGCACCAAACTTGAACATACCATCTTTTGACTTGGTTCTATTTCAACGACAATTATAATCTGGGGTGCTTGATTTCACTTCATCCATATATGTATAGGTTCAAACCTGGCAAGCATGACAGACTATTAGAGTAGTTTGGCTGGAAAACAGAGGAAAGAAGGATTGATTTGATTTGATCATGTTGGACATTGAATCAGTGCTGCAATCCTGTGGCCAAGGGGAGTGTCCTTGTCCATTGTGCAGGCGCAGTATGGTGGTTTTCTGATCCGGCTTTGCTTATTCACCGATGAGTTCTGCAATATTGCATGCTCATTACCGACTAGATTTGTCATAATAGGTTTGTGTAGTTGTTCATTGTGCAAGTAATGTGGTGTGTTTACAGGTCTGGCTGGTGTAGTTACTGATTTGGTCATGCTAATTATTGATAGCTTCTGCAGTAGTGACTGCTCATATTACAGACTAGTTTATTAGGCTCAATTTGAGTAGAAAACGGTGCCAAATTAACGATGTTAGAAAATGGTTGCACAAGCCGAATACAAAGCAGATTCTTTTCATCTGTCTGCCAATCCTTCCAACGAGAAAGACGAGAAAACTCGGTTTGAACCGGGTTAGGGATTCAAATGAACTCCGTCAATATGGTTGGTATTAAGATTTGCCCTGCGAAATTTCGCGCTTCAACATGCTGTGAAAAGTTGAGATATGTGATCAAGTGAGTGAATATCGGATAGAAACAAAAATCAAATTAAAATGGACGAACAAAACTCTGGAAAACTACCAATAAAACAAAAAACTTTGAAAAGCCTCCAAATCTCTAACGAATGAGATTTTATTGCAGATCAAATATATGTATGTAAAGATGGGATAGGTTTGGATACTAAATTTGTTATGAACCCAATTGTTGATTCAAAAGTCTTAGGACTTGTTGGAGGTTAGAGCTCGTAACTATATGAATGTAACATTTTGCCACCATGCTCAGAGCTGACATTCATAATGACTCACTCTATTGACATTTGACCAAACAGTAACCTTTTCTCTTTGACGGCTTTACTCACTTATCAATATTCAATACAATAGCACTATACCCGTACATAGTATANCATTCATAATGACTCACTCTATTGACATTTGACCAAACAGTAACCTTTTCTCTTTGGCGGCTTTACTCACTTATCAATATTCAATACAATAGCACTATACCCGTACATAGTATACTAAGATATTTTAATCTAACCTATAGATCACCCTTTCCGTGACTCGAACTCATGATGTGGTGCCTGCTATGATACTAATTGATATGAACCCAATCCAAAAGTCTCATGACTTGTTTGGGGTTAGAACTCATAACTATTTGACCCTACACAAAATCATAAACCACAAATCACAATGAGACACATGGTATTTGAGTAGATTGACCAATTATATACCATTTGTTACTTGTGATTANCATAAACCACAAATCACAATGAGACACATGGTATTTGAGTAGATTGACCAATTATAAACCATTTGTTACTTGTGAATTAAAAAAAATTGACAAAAAGTGCAACGGAAAGCTCCAAACTCTAGACGGACACTAAGAGCCCAAAAGTTCCTCCAGTAACCCCGCTGTATTGAAGAACGCAGGGCAAAATGGAAGGGTTCTAATGAGGACCATCATCCAGTGACTACAAGGATCCCGAAGCAGCAGAGAACGGATACAAACAAAACATGTACAGACTACAGTATATTCCCTCATCTATTAATCAATTAGTCAATGTAATCCTCTACTGTAACATCTAGAGGTAGCCAGTAATTTTGCTAGACATAGTCTGAGCCCCTAAGGTTTAATGGGGGCAGGGTCACTCACATCGCCCCCTCCACGGATTTTAGTTTTATAAACTATACACAAAGCTGCTTTCGGAAGAAGAAAAAAAAAACTTTACACAAGGCAATATGTCTGAAATCTAAACCTAGAAAAGAAAGGAAAAAACTCTTAAAGAAGTTTCATGACTCCAGATATATCTAGCTTCACAACATTCTCAGTTACACTAATACATCTCTGATCTGAAATGGTTTTTAACAAAAATGAGTTAATTTCAGAAGTGGGTATAGACCCAAGAAGGCTTTCCAAGATGGAGTTATCACTAGACTTGTTGATCAGAGCCAGTGGCAGCATGTCCCTCCAAGCTTCGCCTCTTTTTCTTTCCTTCCCCATCTCTTGACCTTCTGGGTGCCTCATCCTCGCTTTCACTTTCATCATTTTTGAAACTGTTTCCAGTGCCAAGATCCTCCGGTTGGGTTTTTACTCTTCGCTGATAATGTGCCTCATCATCAGCTCCACCACCTGCCATCTCTTGGCCCTTGCCTTGATCTGAACCAGCACTGTATCTGTCATTCCTGTCATTAGCTGGTGCCCTCTGATCCCTCTTAACTGCCCGGTAGGAGTTTTGAAAAGGTTGTGATGCTGGTGGTGGAAACATCGGGGACATACCAACTGGTCGACCACCTCTAGCTGTGCCTGAAGCCCCAATGCCCATCCCACCCATGAAAGGAGCACGACCTGGACCCATCATCATCCCAAATCCACTGGCCTGAAAGTTTCTGGGCTGGGAGGGTCGGCTATGAAACATCATGCCAGAGGCAGGACCTGCAAAATCGCCAGAAAATCTTGGGCCATATGGAGCGAAAGCACGGGGAGCCATACCGAAAACATCGGGCATAGGAAAACCATCAGGTGTGATGGCTCCATAAGAAAATCCATCAGGACCCATCATACCAGGGGCAAAACTCCGGAGCCCAGGGAGAGGCCTGGCCCCACGTGCTAAAGCCATCTGAGGAGGCCACATCATTCCTCCGCCCCTTCCTCTACCTTGAGCTGCAGCCCCGAATCCCTGGCCGTAGTTTTCATCGTCTTCCTCACTCTCTTCTTCTTCTTCCTCTTCGTTGTCCTCGAATGGGACAATGTCAGGGTCCTCATTCCCCTTCTCCAGATTGACTCCTTTTGCCTTTTCTTCCTCTCGCTTTGACTCTGCTGCAATTGAGATCGCCTACATAAAAAGAGGATGGGGGTTGCAACAAAATATAATTACCTTCGGCAAGGAATGTTAATAGAGTGGCTTCATATTCAGTATTGTGTTGCATTCATCACTTTCCTTGCAATTGGTCTTCATCAACTAGGGGATGGTTACTGAACCACTAAAATGGTCCAACCAATTAGAACTAGCCATGAAGTGAATAAATCCTACCACACCTTAGGTAAGCTAAATTAGGAAGTAGAAGATCCTTAGGTGGATTCTACTATTTAAATAGTTCAAATCCATATATTCACATTAGAGGATGGATGATAGTAACAGAAACTATAATGGTGACACTGACTACATGAATGTATATGTACATATAACTTCAATAGCTTTCCGAAATACTGAGTAGATAAGAACGGAGGGAACCTAGAAACGGCATCATTTCTTCAGCTCTGAAAAATGAAGCATAGGTTAATCTAAAGGGTATACTCTTTAACTTTCTATAGGGAGAAGAGAGAACAAAAAACAAAAACAAAAAAAAACCAAAACAAAATCCTAGGTTTAAAAAAAATGCATGGTCAATTTCAAGATCAATGCCAAAGATATATTCTGAACCAGCCCTCATCATCTTACATGAACTTGTATAACCAGTTGGTACTGAAACTGACAAAAACCACTTCATTGACTTGTGCCTATTTCTGCCATTCTTTGTTTAGAAATTGGTTATGAGGATTCATTTAAATATCTGACACTAAAGTATATATATAGGGCAGTAATACTATTTAGCACCCAGCAGCTGACCAATATTCACCACAGGTTATGCAACATCTGCAACTGCAGATCCTACCCAAAGTAGGTAAGTGGGCTATTTCTACATAAGCTTCAGCAGAAGCAACACAAAAATACAAAAGATAATTTATTTGACCGCTAGAGTGCTTGGACACAGGCGAATTTCTAGTATGCAGACCACGATTTTAAAGAATTTCAAAGAAAGTATCCAGAATTATAAATAAAGAAAGATCAAATAAGGAAGTGACTTCGGATAAAACTAAAATGTCCAGGCCAAACCAGGGACGGAACCACACCTAGGCCAAGGGGCACCCCTCATGTTTGCAAAACTAACCTATACATATGTATCTATACACATATTTAATGTAATAACTCATTAATGTGTAATGTATTGGTGCCCTAAGAATACCACAAAGATTGTGGGCTAGTTGCATATGCATATTGGGTGAAATTATAAGAAGGCCAAGTAGTCATGGGTTCAAGTCTTGGGGTGATCAAAGGTCGTCTAATGTGTAGGACTGTGCTTTGTCTACGATTCCTCTAAAATAAAGGCATTGGTAATTTTTGACATTAAGCTAAAATAATTGGGTTATTTGGTGAAATTGAGAATAAATTGAGCTATAGTAATTGGTTATGTGATTAGTTTTTGTTTAATTTGTTGACGCCATGAAGTTGACGTGAAATAGGTCGTTATATGATGATTGATCATATTCTTTTTATCCGTAACTGGATAAATTTGAACTAATCTTTTAAATTCGTTGGGAAATATATAATACCATTCAATTGTCATGCAAAATTTAATTTTGATATGTTTTGTACAACCTTGATAAATAAAAAAAGTTTTGTACAACTAAAATTTAAGATTAATTAAAAGGCTTCTATGACAAAATTTGGGGTGTTGTGGAAGGAAATAAATATAAAAATTTCGAAGATGAAGTTGAGTTTACGGTGTACTTGTGTGACAAAGTTAAGTTCTTAACATCTTTATGAGGTGTCGCTTCTAATTGTTAAGATTGTATGTATATTTATTTACCATTATGGGCATTTTAGTTTTTCTCTTGTAGTTGGGCGCTATATATAGTATCTGTTGTAGCTCGTTATTACTTATTATTATTGTTATTACTATGGAATATGGAGTAGCCGACTACTTTTCTCTCTCTATTCTTCTATGTATGCCTTTTCTTCTTTGAAAGTTTCACCTCAGCTTTCATGGTATCAAAGTCAAGGTTGTGACATGGCCAAAAACAAACTCAAANTTATTATTATTGTTATTACTATGGAATATGGAGTAGCCGACTACTTTTCTCTCTCTCTTCTTCTATGTATGCCTTTTCTTCTTTGAAAGTTTCACCTCAGCTTTCATGGTATCAAAGTCAAGGCTGTGACATGGCCAAAAACAAACTCAGAAGAAGATAATCATGTGGACATCACTGTTCATCTGTTGTATACTGCTCCACGGCTTGTGGATCCTACATGGTTGCTTTAATCTATCTTTGGTGTATTTTTTTGAAAGAATGGTTCCAGGTTTCAAGGTATTTTGATANTGTTCATCTGTTGTATACTGCTCCACGGCTTGTGGATCCTACATGGTTGCTTTAATCTATCTTTTATGTATTTTTTTGAAAGAATGGTTCCAGGTTTCAAGGTATTTTGATAAAGCTAAAACCCTAATTTTTAGTGCACCATTTAAATTTCGACATTTCAAAAATTGAATTTTTTCATTTCTTCATCTACTCCTTTCGACCTTGTGCATTCCAACGCGTAGGGTCCTGTTTCCATTGCCACCAAAAGGGGGTTTTGGTACTATGTTTCTTTTATTGATGATTATCCTTAATTTTGTTGGATTTATTTCATGAAACATCAATTTAAATTTTCTCTATCTTTGCTGCTTTTCGTTCTATGATTCACACACAATATTCTTCACTTATTAAATGTTTTCAATGTGATTTGGTTGGGAAATACAAATTTACTAATTTTCTTGACTTATTGAAATCTGATAGAGCCATTCAGTAGTCTACTTGTGTAGACACTTTTGAGCAAAATGGGTGATTGATCGAAAACATAGACACGTTATAAAGATTGCTCGCTCAGTACTTTTATTTGTGTATGTTCCCAGCTATTTTTGGGGAGAGGTAGTTCTCATGGGTGTTTATATCATTAACCGGATTCCTTTTATTATTAGTTTTAGGTGTTCCCTTTTTGAAGGACTCATTGGGTGTGTTTGGATGTACATGCTTTGTTCTTCTCCCTAGAGTTGAATGAAATAAGCTATCTGCTCGTTCCATCATGTTTGTCTTTCTTGATTATGGTGAAGGATAAAAAGGATATCGTTGTTACAATCCTGTTGTCAATAAATTAGATACAATCCAAACAAGCGGTCTTTTTCGAGTATATTCCTTTTTTTTCCATTCCCTCTAACTCTGACACATTGAGTAAATCTAATGTTATTTATATTGACCCTTTTCCTGATGATATTTCTGATGATTATTTTATTTCTGACATTTGGTCTTTGACTCAGCCTTCATCTTCTTCTATGGTACCCCCTCCTATTGTTCATACTTGCTCTTATTGAAACAATACTAAGTCTCTATAGTTACAACTCCTTTACGTCTTTCTGCTACATCTCCATCGGCTTCTAATGGTGTGCATACTCCCTACTCTCACTATCCTAAGCGCATCTATAAGTGCCCATATCAATTTGATTTTTCTAACACTTTTTTTTTATTCATTTTTATCCTCTATTCACCCTCTATTTGAGTCTACCTATTATAAGGAGACTGTTTTTGANTCCTAAGCGCATCTATAAGTGCCCATATCAATTTGATTTTTCTAACACTTTTTTTTATTCATTTTTATCCTCTATTCACCCTCTATTTGAGTCTACCTATTATAAGGAGACTGTTTTTTATCTACTTTACAACATTCTATGAATGAAGAACTTTCTGAATTGCACAAACTTGGGACATGAGATCTTATGCCTTTACTTACTAGTAAGCATGTTGTTGGTTGTTGGTTGTTGGCGGACACATAAAGATAGATTGGTTGCAAAGAGTTTTGCACATATGACATTGATTATAAGGAGAAATTTGCTCCTGTTGCAAAGATGACCATTGTTTGTACATTAATTGTCATAGCAGTTGTTTGTAAATGAATGTTAAAGAATGTTTTTTTGGATGATGATTTGGCTGAAGAGATTTTTATGGTTCCTTCCTTGATCTTCCACATGCTCCTAGTGAGGTATGCCCTCTCAGAAAATTTTCGTATGCTTTCAAATTGGCTCCTCGGGCGTAGTTTAAACAGTTCTTTCCTATGATATGTGACTTGAGTTTTCATTCTAGTGATAATGATTTTCCTATTTTTCTTTGTTCTACTCTCGTCAAGGTTTAAAGTATCGTCCGAGCTAATTCGCTGAGTTTTATCCGCCTTGGCCACCCTAATACGATAACGGTATACGATACACAAATATTGTGAGTCACTCTTTGTATTGACGATAACTTGATTACGACACAGACATATCGACTTAGCTCAAAATCAATTCAACGACTCAAAAAGATTGATATAATGAAATCTTGTGCAAAATCTCCAAAGTCCGGAACAAACAAAGGCAATCTCCAATAAACTAAAGAAGGATTGTAAAGATGTGCAAAACATACACTCATAATCAAAAATAAGGAGTCTAATCTTCTTTTATTTTCTGCGAAGTGCAAACCAATGGCGACTAGGCAACAGAAACACAATTCCAACCTCATCCTCCTTCTTAATGATCGTTGATGCCTCCGTTGACTCCTCGCAAATTCTCTCTCTCTCCCTCTTTACGAACTGAGTGGACGAAGCGCCTTTGAGACTCAAATAGAGTCTTTTGAGACTCTTCCCTGTCAGTGGCCTAATTAACCCTTAGACTTCTTTGTTTTCTTTTATCCTTTATTGGTATTTTTAACTCGTGGTAAATTTATTTTGTGGGTAATTGACTTTTAAGTGCACTTTTGCCAAAGTCTAATTTGGGCAAATTTCTTTGATACCATGGGATATATTAACATTTTTATTTTTGGATATTTAAAATTATATATTAAAATTACAATATATTTATATTCAAATAATTAATTTATTGTATAAATATTTATTTTTTTTACATTTTTAAATGTCCAACAACGTAAAAATTAAATAGTGAATTGAATACCGATAGTGATAAATATTTTTAGTAGCCCNATTACAATATATTTATATTCAAATAATTAATTTATTGTATAAATATTTATTTTTTTACATTTTTAAATGTCCAACAACGTAAAAATTAAATAGTGAATTGAATACCGATAGTGATAAATATTTTTAGTAGTGCCTATCTATTTTATTTTCATTGGGGGTAATGTGCTAGTGGATGTAATGCGGACATATAATGCAAGGATGATGTCTATTTCTTTAGAATTTTTCATTATTTTTTCAAAAAAATTTAGGCCTTCTATATAGCATATCGACCAATATCATACTATGATGCTATGACCAATATGTATTAGTGTCCTTCGAGTCGATGGGCAATGATGNTTTATTTTCATTGGGGGTAATGTGCTAGTGGATGTAATGCGGACATATAATGCAAGGATGATGTCTATTTCTTTAGAATTTTTCATTATTTTTTCAAAAAAATTTAGGCCTTCTATATAGCATATCGACCGATATCATACTATGATGCTATGACCAATATGTATTAGTGCCCTTCGAGTCGATGGGCAATGACGNTAGAATTTTTCATTATTTTTTCAAAAAAATTTAGGCCTTCTATATAGCATATCGACCGATATCATACTATGATGCTATGACCAATATGTATTAGTGTCCTTCGAGTCGATGGGCAATGATGCGACCTTAAACTATGACTCCCTCTATTCAAATTATTCTCTCTTACAAGTTGATAATATGGTTATTTTTGGTGATGATTAAAATGGAATCTCAGTTTTGAAGGTCCATTTCAACATCAATTTGAGATGAAGGATCTTGATCTCCTTCGCTATTTTTTGGGCATTAAGTGGATTTGTCACCTAAGGGTTATCTTATTTCTCAATCAAAGTATGCAACTGATATTATCCACAAGGCTCAATTAACAAATTCTTGTACTGTTGAGACTACGCTAGAGTTTAATAGACATGACACTTATACTTATGGTGTTCCTTTCATTGATCCTGCTCTGTATCGGGTTCTTGCTAGTAGTTTGGTCTAATCTTTCTATTACACGACTTGATATTACTTATGTTGTTCATGTTGTGAGTCAATTTGTCTCTTTTCTAACTACAGTTTANTTCTCAATCAAAGTATGCAACTGATATTATCCACAAGGCTCAATTAACAAATTCTTGTACTGTTGAGACTACGCTCGAGTTTAATAGACATGACACTTATACTTATGGTGTTCCTTTCATTGATCCTGCTCTGTATCGGGTTCTTGCTGGTAGTTTGGTCTAATCTTTCTATTACACGACTTGATATTACTTATGTTGTTCATGTTGTGAGTCAATTTGTCTCTTCTCTAACTACAGTTCANCTAATCTTTCTATTACACGACTTGATATTACTTATGTTGTTCATGTTGTGAGTCAATTTGTCTCTTTTCTAACTACAGTTTATTGGATTGCAGTTCTCCATATTTTGCGTAATCTTCGGGGCAATTCATATCAAAATTTGTTGTTCTATTCCATTTCTTTGGAATTTCATGCCTTTTCTGATGCTAACTTGACAGTTGATGTCATGGATCGCAAATCTATGATTGGTTTCTGTGTTTTTTTTGGGTGATTCCCTAATTTCGTGGAGGAGCAAAAAATAAATTGTTGTCACTCGTTCTACTACTAACGTATGGCTAGTACTACATACATTAGAGACAGTTTGGTTGATATGGTTGCTTTCTAATTTAGGAATCACTTTTTATGCTCCTAGTTCTATGCATTGTGTCAACAACAGTGACATGCAAGTTGCACCTAATTCTGTTTTCTAAGAGAGGACTAAACATCTTGTCATTTTGTGCACCACCATTTTCTGCTTGAGATTATTTCCATGCCTTCTCTTTCTGCTACTTTGCAACTAGCCAACTTTTTCATTAAGTCTCAATACTACGCTACGTTTAGGTTTTCTTATTGATAAACTCTCGATGCTTCCTACTGTCACATCATGAATTTGAGGAAGTGTGTTAAAATTGTATTTGTATTTATATCTATTTATCATAAGGGGCATTTNTACGTTTAGGTTTTCTTATTGATAAACTCTCGATGCTTCCTACTGTCACATCATGATTTGAGGAAGTGTGTTAAAATTGTATTTGTATTTATATCTATTTATCATAAGGGGCATTTTATTCTTTCTCTTATAGTAGGGTTTTATATATAGTGTCTCTTGTAACTAGTTATGATTATTATTACGGAATCTAGGATTAGCAGATTACTTTTCTCTCTCTCTTCCTCTATATATGTCATTTGTTCTTTTTAAGTTTGACCTAAGCTGTCACTAATGAGTCCAAAGATATTTCTTTCTAATCCATCACAATTGGATTACAACTTGCAGTTTGGCCAGTCAATGGATCAAATTTTAATTCGAATCCAACTCAAATGGATTTGTTTTTGATCAATTGTTCAAATCCAAGCCAAAATATTTTAAGTCTGCCTAAGTCTTCTAAGCAAGCTACGTACAAATAGGAGTAGAGAGAAGTGTTAAAAAGGGGTATACATATGGGTATCAAGATAATTTTGTCCACATTTGCATTGAAGTTAATGGTACACTTTAGTTCAAAACCACATGGGGGTCATGTGATTATATTCATAAGGAAGTGAAGTGCTATAGGGTAAAACCACAAGAGAGTAAAATGGATTTCACCCTATTTACGGAAAATTCTGATTAGAATATAATCGGATTGAATATTGAAAAATCTAGATACAAAATCCTTGAAATATGATATATATAATTTAGTCCACAAATTTTTGAAACCTTAAAACTAAAGAGCCCAATTTCTTTCAACTCATTAGATTTCCACTCTACAACTGTTTAAAGTTGAAGAAGTAACTCAGCTGCCAATATGCTTCTCAAGCCCCATCACACTCAGCCAACTCATTTGCTAATCTTTCATTAACAAATTTACTAGTCAAAGGAACATCAGTCAACCAAAGCAACTCATTCATAGTGGCATAATCTTACATCAAACCCCCAGTTGGCTTCACATGGAAACCATGTTACATATGATAGTCTTTCTCCAGCTTCCCAAATAGCTTGACTGGGTCTTAATTTCATTTTGCAATTAGCCAGAGTTATCTAACAATGTACCGTGCAAACAGCAAGCACCACGTGAATCTTGACTTAAAACAACAAGGATCTGAATCCCAATTTCATTTTGCCATCACTAAAGAAGTGGGTTATTTGCCAGAGAATTGCAAATTTTGGGATGCACGAATTTCATTTTGGCACAACTTTCCGGCAATGATGATGATGGCTGAAACTTGGGAAGACCGCAAATTGGGCATAACTTCTTCAACCTTTTGACCCAATTCTTTGTGGGTTGAGTTTTTGGGCCTTGTTAGGATTTGGATTTTGAAGGAGATGACGTTAAAGACACACCAGGCACCCCAGAAACTCTGGTAACTCCATGATGGCAAGTTCATTATGGAATGCAGATGTTAGGTAGGAGGTGGTATGTGAGGTGGCGAAGGAAGTCAAGTGGGAGGAGGGAAGAGATACATAGAAGAAGAAGAAGAAGAATAAAAAGGGGAAAAATATATGCAACTTTACATAAAGTTTAAGGGATGTATTTGTTTTGTTATATCAAAGTTTGACTTTGACCACATGTCAAATCTCAAATTGGGCACGCATGTCACAATTTCCATCAATTTGGATGAAAATTGTAACAGTAGCATAATGGTTCCAAACCACATGGGGTGGTGTGGTTACATTTGAACCATAAGGGGGTAAATTGCCATAGGGTCAAACCACAAAGGCATAAATTACCAAAATAAATATAAACATATTATTAAATTTGGTGATTATTTAAGGAAATTGAACTGAAATTTAAATGTAATTTGTTAAAATCAACTCTAATTAAGTTATTCCGGTTGAATTGGATATTCAATTAGCTACCCGATTTTTAAAGTATTTGAATATGGATGTGAAAATAAATTCCGTTGGATAATTGGATCGAAGTATAATTGGATTTTTCAAATTGGTTTGAATTAGTCAAAATCCGCTCTAAATCCAACATGTTGACAGACCTACTTGTAGGTGGAGTCCTTATTGTAATTTTCAGCTTTCCCAGAACCAATGAGGGTTCTAGTTTCCTTTTTTGAAAGAAAAAATTGAAGTGATGAAAGTTTCCAATATATGGTTCTCAACCCTTTATGCTTCACACTTCGATGTTGCTCACATATTGCTGATGGAATTTTGCTAGGTGGGCGAAGGTTTGTCATTAAATTAGAGTACCCAATAAATAATTTTTGGAATAGTGATGGGCTCCCTTTGTTAAAGTTCTGTAAAAAGTGCTGAAGCCAATAATATAGAAAACAAAAATACCATTAGTTCACTGTCTGGCTCGAGATACAGAAGGGAAGCCAACTGCTCACCAATAGNTTGAACCATAAGGGGGTAAATTGCCATAGGGTCAAACCACAAAGGCATAAATTACCAAAATAAATATAAACATATTATTAAATTTGGTGATTATTTAAGGAAATTGAACTGAAATTTAAATGTAATTTGTTAAAATCAACTCTAATTAAGTTATTCCGGTTGAATTGGATATTCAATTAGCTACCCGATTTTTAAAGTATTTGAATATGGATGTGAAAATAAATTCCGTTGGATAATTGGATCGAAGTATAATTGGATTTTTCAAATTGGTTTGAATTAGTCAAAATCCGCTCTAAATCCAACATGTTGACAGACCTACTTGTAGGTGGAGTCCTTATTGTAATTTTCAGCTTTCCCAGAACCAATGAGGGTTCTAGTTTCCTTTTTTGAAAGAAAAAATTGAAGTGATGAAAGTTTCCAATATATGGTTCTCAACCCTTTATGCTTCACACTTCGATGTTGCTCACATATTGCTGATGGAATTTTGCTAGGTGGGCGAAGGTTTGTCATTAAATTAGAGTACCCAATAAATAATTTTTGGAATAGTGATGGGCTCCCTTTGTTAAAGTTCTGTAAAAAGTGCTGAAGCCAATAATATAGAAAACAAAAATACCATTAGTTCACTGTCTGGCTCGAGATACAGAAGGGAAGCCAACTGCTCACCAATAGAGGGCTCTAGCTCTTGGCAATCTCTGCTTATCTGCAATTACAAAAAAAAAAAAAGCAATGGTATTAAAAGATGATTGGAAGTTAAGTTCAATTCTGGAGATAAATTGCATGGTCCATAATAACCAACTGAGAAAAATTTAAGAGGATTAAACAAACAACCAAAGTCATGTTTTACCATGCAAGTTTAATAGTGTTGTGCAAGCCCATTTTTACTCCCATTTTTGAATTTCTGTTCGTTATTCATGCCACAAATACTCGGCTGGTACTGCATCCATAGTGACCAATACACCAATACTAATGTCCACCTTGATTTTCACAGGCACAGTTCCAGTTCATTCTCCACATGCCTTTAGCATGTTGACCATTATTCATTCCAAGTTCAAAGTAGAATGGTTCAATTTTTCACTAGTAAAGGGCACAACTGTATGATAAAAATAACATTGCCACAAACATTGTCATCGCTGAATTCGGAAAAGCAGCTACTAAACAATACATTAAAAGCTCAAAGTGCACTATAGTACAGGCCCTACAGGGATCAACTGTTTGGTATAACCATGTAGTGTAATGGACCTGTGGGACAGCATTGGGATATGCCTGAAGGGTGGGGGCAGACATTTCTCCGACATTTTGAATTTCAAGCTGCTAGACCACTGGATATCCAATCTGAGGCTTTAGCTCATTTAAGGTTGCTTACCAATGGTTTTACAGCGGTAACGTGTAGAAACCAAGCATCAATATAGTTAGATATTCACATGAATTCTGTGTTGTGGTTCTTATTTTCTATATTAAGTCCTAAGTTAGCAAGTTAGCCAGGGTAATATTGTAATTATCCTAAACATTACTTAGTTATAAATACAAAGGTGTAGGGCAACAGAGTAGCCCTAAGGCTCCTAACACAGAATATTCTTTACTGTCTCTCTTTCTTTTCTCTTTCTTCTTTCTTTCTCTACATCCTTCTAACCCTAATATTGTTTTTTCTATCTTAACTTTCGGCAAATAGATTTCGTGCTTATATGATCTCATTTTCATTACCTGAATATGAAAAATTAACAAAGTTCAACATTTAGGCGATACGATGTTGGATTCTTTTAGACTTGGTGTATTTTGGATTTTGGAGAACTTTTGAGCGTTTGATGATCTAATTGTGGGCACAGGGCACTTATATTTGTTAAATGCACAAGGTCAATATCTGTGATAAGGTTTTCTAAGGCCTATAAAAAGGCCACATAAGGTAAAACATGGGTGGACTCCACTGAGATGGCATTGAATGGTATGAGTTTCTGAAAGAGCTCCCTGCTTATCACCTCTCTCCCACTTCTTGCTTTCTCCTCTCCTTTTTCCTCTACCCTCTCCTTCCTTCTCATCTATGGATATGGAGTGTGATGTAGATCGTAGTAAGGAAGAATTAGGGATGACAAGGGAAGAAGAAGGGGTGAGAAAAGGAAAAGAAGGGAATGAAGACTGAAAGAGAATTTGAGGAAGACGAATTCAATATCAATAATCAATAATAATCAAAGTCTAATCTAAATAAAATCCTTACATGCATCCCTTTATATAAGAAAACTAAAACCCTAAAACAAATAAGTAATAACAAATAAACCCTTAAAAATTAAAAGAAATTACTTAAAAAATAAATATTAAAAGTATTCAAATTACTCTTATGATTAATCTAAAATATTTATCCAATTCCTACACGATCCCCATCATTCTCCCCTAGTTAAGAAAAACTCTCCTCCGGAGAGTCTTCAAAACAGCAGTACCCTAAGAGAACAGCATGAAAATGACTAAAAGTCTCATCTAGAATGAAAGAACCATCAACATTTTTTCATCGATCAGGATAAATGCAAGAATCTCTATCTATAGCATTGTAAATTNCATGAAAATGACTAAACGTCTCATCTAGAATGAAAGAACCATCAACATTTTTTCATCGATCAGGATAAATGCAAGAATCTCTATCTATAGCATTGTAAATTTGGTCACGTAGCACATCATTTATTTGTCCCGAAATACGCAATGGAAGTGGAAAGATAAGAACTGGAGCTAATGCTAAGGAAGAAGCAATTCCACCAACAGAAACACTGGGTAACAAAATAGGAGGTTCTAGACTACCTCGATTAAGTAGCATGTCCTCCAAATAAAAATCTAGACTAATACTAGCATTCAATGAAAAATTAAGCAAATAAGTATTAGATCTAAATTCAAGCATAGGAAAATAATTCCCATTAGACTTTAACAACAAGCATTCAGTGGGACAAGACTTCAATGATAAAGGAGTAACAATAATGCCTTGGTGCTGAAAATAATTAAATACAAACTCAAGTGAATACTTGGTAGTAAGCAGAGGAACAAAGTCAACAATCTTAGATCGGGAAGAATTCGTAACAAAATCATGATGACTTGGACAAGTAGACATAGAATAGTCACTAATAGATGCAATAAATGACTTGATTGGCTTAATATCTTGTATAGGTGTAGATTCAACAGACTTTTTCACAATTTTCAAAATCAATGATGATTCAAGAATTGACACAAGCAAAGACTCACACACACTTTCTTTTGATATGAACTCTTATGGGTGCAAAGGAGGAGGACTCTGATCTAATGAAACTGAATGAGGGAATTGAAAGTCAATATGAGTAACATTTTTCTCTTTATCTAATACTAACATATCTAATCCTTTGTCACACTTGAATTAGGAAAGCATGCAGAAACAACATGGACATTGTTCAAATAATCACGATACTCATATGTGGTGGAATTAAAATTGGAAGATATCCTGTCACGATGTTTAGTAGACTGTGATTAATAACTTATCAAGCTATAGTTGGATTTCTTATGAAATCTCTCAACTTTTAGAGCATATTGATAGGCTGCAACTAACGTATTAAAAGTGTATAATTTGACCTCCCTACTAATTTTTTATCTCAACCCAAGAATAAACTGATCAATTATTCAAGGTTCTTCAACAATGTCACACAAATACATGAGATAATCGAAGTGGGCAAAGTAATCAGAGACACTAGAAGAATGTTGTCTAAGATTGAGTCATTGGTTATAAACTTGATCAGTGTAGGAAGTAGACAAATACTTCTCTTTTAATTTATATTTCATTTCAACCCAAGTAATAGGTGATTTTTCTAAGGAGTCTAGGCTTCTTTGGATTGCTTGCCAATACCGCTTGGCGGAACCCTCCAACATAAATTTAGCAAAACGGACGCAATGAAAATCTGACATGTCATGCCAATCAAAATATTCTTCTAAATTAGCTAACCAATCCAAGAATTCAAAAAGATCTAAAGTGCCACTAAATATAGAAAGATCTTTGACTAGTTTGGTCATATGGGAATTCATGTAAACATCCCTAGACTTCCTATGATGATAACCTCGATGAGAAACTCTAGCAGTGGAATAGGTATAGTGGTGACGTTGTGGAGAATTACGACCTTGAGACATCCTTGATGTTGGCTTAATATCTTGCATAGGTGTAGACTCAACAGACTTTTCCACAATTTTTAAAACTAATGATGGTTCAAGAATTGACACAAGCAAAGACTCGTACACATTTTTTTTCGATATGAACTCTTGCTGGTGCAAAGGAGGAGGACTCTGATTTGATAAAACTGGATGAGGGAGTTGNTTTTAAAACTAATGATGGTTCAAGAATTGACACAAGCAAAGACTCGTACACATTTTCTTTCGATATGAACTCTTGTTGGTGCAAAGGAGGAGGACTCTGATTTGATAAAACTGGATGAGGGAGTCGAAAGTCAATATGAATAATATTTTTCTCTTGATCCGATACTAGCATATCTAAATCTTTTGTCACATTCAGATTAGAAAAATATGCAGAAACAACATGAATATCGTTTAAGTAATCATGATACTCATATGTGATAGAATTAAAACTAGAAGGTCTTTCATGCTATTTAGCAGACTGTGATTGAGAACTCATCAATTTATAGTTGAATTTCTTATGAAATCTCTCAACCTTTAGAGCATATTGATAGGCTACAACTATCGTATTAAAAGTGTATACTTTGACCTCTCTACTAATTTTTGGTCTCAACCCAAGAATAAACTGATCAATTGTCCAAGGTTCTTCAATAATGTNAGCAGACTGTGATTGAGAACTCATCAATTTATAGTTGAATTTCTTATGAAATCTCTCAACCTTTAGAGCATATTGATAGGCTGCAACTATCGTATTAAAAGTGTATACTTTGACCTCTCTACTAATTTTTGGTCTCAACCCAAGAATAAACTGATCAATTGTCCAAGGTTCTTCAACAATATCACACAAATACATGAGATAATCGAACTGGACAAAGTAATCAGAGACACTAGAAAAATGTTTGTCTAAGATTGAGTCATTGGTCATAGAATTGATTTATGTAGGAAGTATGCAAATACTTCTCTTTCAATTTATATCTCATTTCAACCCAAGTGATAGGTGATTCTCCAAAGGGGTTTAGGCTTCTTTGAACTGTTTGCCAATACTGCTTGGCGGAGCCCCCCAACATCAATTTAGCAAAACAGACGCAATGGAAATCTGACATGTCATACCAATCAAAATATTCTTCTAAATTAGCTAACCAATTCAAGAATTTAAAATGATTTAAAGAGCCACTAAAAATAGAAGGATCTTTGACTAATTTGGCCATATAGGAATTCATGTAAACATTCCTAGACTTCCTATGATGATGACCTCGATCAGAGACTCTACTCTAGCAGTAGAATAGGTATAGTGGTGACGTTGTGGAGAACTACGACCTTGAGACATCCTTAATGTTGGGTAAGCATATGAATAGGCATCATAAGGATTATATGAACTCATGATGACTTTGAAAGATAAGAATAACATAAGAATGAGTTGAAGGATTATATGATGTAAATCGTAATAGCTCTGATACCAAATTAATGTAGATCGTAGTAAAGAAAAATTAGTGATGAGAAAAGAAGAAGGGGATGTGGACTGAGAGAGAATTTGAAGAAGAAGGATTCAATATCAATAATCAACAATAATCAAAGTCTAATTTAAATAAAACCCTTACATGCATCACTTTATATTGGGAAACTAAAACCCTAANATCAACAATAATCAAAGTCTAATTTAAATAAAACCCTTACATGCATCACTTTATATAGGAAAACTAAAACCCTTAAACAAATAAGTAATGACAAATAAACTCTTAAAAGTTAAAAAAAATTAATTAAAAGATAAATATTAAAAGTATCCAAATTACTCTCATGATTAATCTAAAATATCTATTCAATTCCTACACGATCCCCATCAAAGTGTCTGGGAAGTCATATATGTACCCTCCCTTTCTTACTGTCTCTCCTCCTTTCTTTTTCTTTCCTTCTTCTCCCCTTGTGAGGGAAAGGCTTGGAAGCTGTTTAAGATGCCCTCCATCTCCTTTACTCTGATCTTTCTCTCACTCTCTCTCATCAAATCTTATATTTAAAAAATTATTGATTTTCTCTCCCACAACGAGTTTAATAAATCCTCGGGAGATCCAAATCATATCATCAAACCAAGCCAGAGGAGTTATATCAAGCTCTTTCTTAATCTCTTTGTGATTTGACAATCTAAGCTTAAGGATAGGAAATTA